CACAACAGAAGTGCTCCAGGATGCTGTTTTGGAAGTTCAGTTCATGCTAGAAATGTGTTTTGGAGTTCGTACGTGTTTTGTCTCTAAGAGCCACCGCATATATTTATATATAAACATATATAAATAAAACCACTTTTTTTTTACATTAGTAATTCCTTTTGTGCATACTTTTATATTATTGTTAATAATAAATAAATTAAAGCAACAAAACAACCTGAAGAGCCGGTTCGGAGCCGAAAGAGCTGGTTCTCTAAAAAGAGAATACTAATACCTAGAATATCAGAGCTGCTTCTAACTGCAATGGCCAGAGGCTCCATAGCTAGAGCAAAGAGCAGTGGAGATAAACAGCAACCCTGCCTAGTCCCCCGGTGAAGTAGAAACGGATGTGATCTATCAAAATTTGTCAGTACCGATGATCTTGGCCGTGCATAAAGCATACGTACCAAAGTTGTAAAATTACTACCAAAGCCAAATTTCTCAAGTGTAGCAAACAGGTATTTCCACTCAATTTGATCGAAAGCTTGTTGTGCATCTAATGAAATAACAGCTGAATTTGGAGGATTTGTTCCATACAGTACATTCAATAGACAACGGGTATTAGAGAAAGCAAATCTGTCTGGAATAAAACCAGTTTGATCGTGTTGAATTAAAGTGCCCAAAAATTTATTAAGGCGTGAAGACAAGACTTTTGGAATGATTTTTTGATCACAGTTTAATAAACTAAGTGGGCGATATGAAGTCACATTGGTGGGGTCTCTGTCCTTCTTAGGGAGAAGACAAACGTGGGCATCATATATGCTATCAGGGAAAGAGCCCCGTGCAATAGAGCAGTTCACCATTCTGAGTAAAAGTGGAGCGATTATGTCAATATGGGCTTTATAAAATTCTATGTTGAACTAGAGCTGGGCAATATAAGATTTTGTCATATCACGATATGTTTTTTTCATTTCAGGCGATAACGATATCTATCACGATATAAGCCAAATAACTATATTTGTAAGATTTAAATGTGCCGTTGCTCACAAGTAAAATGTGAAATAATCAGCAGCTTGTTTTATTTAAATATTTATTTCCCATAATAAGTTCAACAGGGTAGATGTACTTAAGGAACATGAGACTTTTTCAGATAAATAAAGGCAAATATTGCAAACTACACAAAAGGCAGCCGCTAAAGCGTTTAAGTTTCAAAATAGAACAAACGAAACAGACTACTAAATTGTCAATTTCACTTAGAAACAAAATATTAATTCTAAAAATAAATCTTAGTTTGTTTTACAGAAGAACAGACAAAATTGACTAACTTTTGTCAATATCAAATAAACTGAGAACTAAAAGGAAATTCTCAAACTCTCCTTGTTGTATAGCTTAGCTTTTCAAACAGTTTTAACAGTTACTTTAGTCTGACAAAAGCCGAATGACGAATTAGTGCTTCCAGTCAGAGACTGAGGCTACGTCCACACGTACACGGGTATTTTTGAAAACGGAGATTTTCCGTTTTCGTTTTAAAAAATAATCCCGTCCACACATAAAGGGAGAAATGAAGGAAAACGCTGCGATGAACATGCAAAAGCAGCAGGTGGCGCTAGATTCCTAACCGTGCAGAAATGTTGGCCAATCAGAAGTCTAGAAGCCTAGAAGTGGGGAAAAAGTAAACAAAGCTGGGGCATCGAAGCAGAACCGAGTCGTATGTGTGGAGGGACAGTAATATGTAAGCATTTAAACACTGCAGAGAGTAGAATTAACAGTAACATTATTGTAGAAATTCATTTCACTGAAAAAATAACGTGGCACACAGTGTGACGTCAAAAAATGCGCACACCTTTGACGCTGCGTTTTCTCAGTTTTTCTGGTCCACACGTAAATGCAAAAACGGAGTTTTCAAAAATCTTCATTTTCAGTGACCAAAAACGCCGTTTACGTGTGGACGAAAGGTGCAAACGCATAGAAAAATCTGCGTTTTCAAAAATACCCGGGTACGTGTGGACGTAGCGCATGCACCAGTTTATTGTATTTCCAGACTTGCTTTCGGCACAATTTACAGTGCACGCTACTCTGTTTTTTGTCAGACTTGAAATAGCCGAAATACCTTCACACTACAGAACTTCTATGGCTCTTCCGTTCGACAATCTCTCCAGCATTGGAACCATCATCTGTTTTCTCTTCGGTAACCTTTGGTCACGCTCTGTTGATTTTTCTAGTCGGCACACTCATTTCCTCCATTACCCGGTGGCTGGCTGCTTCCCAAACAAATACACATGTGCGGCTTGGCACTTGTGCTGTACGTAACAAGTCACGTGACGTGACGCTGGGGCTGTGATTGGTTCGGCTCTGCGCTACGTAATTTGGATTGGCTGTTCCTTTTTTTTTTTTTTAAGAGGACAAGAGCGGCGAAGTCTATCGCGATAGTTTAATTTTTCTATCGAGAAAAAGTTATATCGCGATACATATCGTTATCGTTCTATCGCCCAGCTCTATGTTGAACTCATCCGGTCCGCAGACTTTACCACTAGGGAAAGAAAGGATAGCAGCTTTGACTTCTGTGATGCTGAAATCAGCATCAAGCACTTGGGTGGCAGATTCTGTAAGGGTTGGAATACTCAGAGAGTTAAGAAAGCTAAAAAGCTCAGAGTGAGTGGCGTTCGATTTAGAAGAATACAGTGTGCTGAAAAACTCAACAAATCTGTCATTAATCAGCTTAGGATCAGTAATTAATTCACCGGTAGAGGAGGCAATTATGTGTATGGTGCGATGGGCTTGCACATCTTTTAATTGTCTGGCAAATAATTTATGGGGTTTATCTCCCAACTCAAAGTGTCTTTGTTTCAATTTAATAATATCGCTACCGACTTGGGTTCCCAAAATATGATTGTATTCGAGTTTTAGTTTCAGAATAGCATTAGATATGTCCTCAGTATCAGATTGGCGAAGTGCCTCCTCTAATGTTGACAATTCAGACTCAATATGGGACAGACGATTTAATGTAGTTCTTTTTGAAAATGTTTGAAAGCAAATGATCTTGCCACGCAATGCTGCCTTAAAAGATTCCCAAAGAGTGGAATCAGAGACCTCACCATTGTCGTTATGTTTTAAGAAATCTGAAATCTCAGTGAAAACATAAGTGGAGAAAGTTTTGTCTGACAGAAGGGTAGAATTGAATTTCCAATTAAAAATTCGAGGCTGTAAATTAAAATCTGTTTTCATGGTAAGTGGGGCATGGTCAGAAATCAAGATTTGATGATTAGCTGAGCTGACAATACTGGGTAGTAGTCTAGAATCTGTAACAAAGTAATCTATTCTGGTAAAGCTATGACATACAGATGAAAAAAAGGAATATTGCCTGTCATTTGGATGCTGAAGCCTCCAAACATCTACCATGTTGTGTGATTTTACCAGATTGTTCAAAACTGCCGTGGATCTAGTAGTAGGGGCTATTTTTGTAGACGATCTACCCAAAACAGGATCAAAATAGCAGTTAAAATCGCCACCAATTATTATACTAGACATATTATATTCAGAAATTAGATAAAATATTTTGGAAAAGAAGTCAGGACAGTCAAAATTAGGGGCATAGATATTTAGCAAGACCAGTGGGAAAGAGTTAATGGACCCAGAGACCAAAACAAATCTCCCACCCGGATCAGTAACGACGGATCCAAATATAAATGGAGTGGTTTTCCATATGAGTATAGCAACACCTCTGGCCTTAGATGTGAAAGTGGACTGGTAAACCTGCGACACCCAATTTGCTCTTAAACGTCTCTGTTCATTGGAGTGAATATGAGTTTCCTGAAGAAAAACGATATCAGAAGATAAATGCTTCAAATGTGACATAACCTTCCCACGTTTCAAAGCTCTGCCTAAGCCCTTGCAATTCCAGGATGTAAACGTCAAAGGACATGTTCCTAAACCAGTAGCATTGTTACCCCGCATCTAAATGAGAGGTGGTATGACATATGGACTGGTGAAAAATAATACAAAGGACTGGCATAAAAAAGGTTAAAACAAAATTAACACCAAGAACACTGAACCCCACCCCCCAAAAAGAAAAAGGCCGCAAAAAAGAACAAGAACCACTGCGGCCCATCCCAGCGTGCATTAAGGGGACTGCCGGGAAGAAGAGCACAAAACCTTCATATACGGCAGCTCCGCACCAGACTCCATTAATCAAAACTATAGTTACACCCATAAATCGACTGATTGGGTAAAAAAAAAAAAGAAAAGAAAAAAAAGACGCAAACATATAAAATGACTTGTGTATAACCAAAGTTATAATATAAACATTCTCAGTACTTCACGATAGAGAAAAGTTTTAAGACGTCGTAGCAAAAAAACAAAACAATGATAGAAATCAGATCACCACAGAAGCATTCAAAAAATGATTGAACAAATCGCGACTCTCACTAACAGTTCCAGGTGCTGGACTGTTTGAAGGCCCCACTTTGGATCACGTGAAGGACATTCAGTTTTTTGTTGCAAACTGTTTACAGAAAACGCACTATTGTCACACCACAGTGAGCCAGTTGCATGAACAGCAGCCTAATCAGACTTCTGTAGAGTCTCAGTTTTTTTGGAGTCTGCTTCTTGTGTCCAACAGGAAGAATTCTGTCCATAAACAAAGGATTTTAAAATGTACCATTTCTTTTTTTCTTTTTACTTTTGTAAAGTAACCTAAAATTATTATTGCCTCAAAGGGATTTATACTCTGAGCTATGTTTTTTTTTTGTATTTTAAAAGCAGCCAACGAATTGTTAATGCATGATTAAAGTGAATTGGATTGGGATGAACTGAAGCTCTGCCATCACGTAATGTCGCATACTGCTGTTTCTGATGTCATTTAAAAAAAAAAAAAAAAGTGAACTGGGTTGGAAGGAGGCGTTGTTGGTAAATCTGCTAACTTTGTGGTGGAGGCTGTTGGACACAATGTTGGTACAAGGGGGGTCCTGAAAGCATGTACTGATTAGCTTCAGTTTCTTCTCTGAAGTTGCTCTGTTTCTCTTCAGATGTCTCTCAGACCAAGATTGAATGTGATGACAAGGGTGATGGATGGTGTGACATGTGCTGCTGGCCCACAGAACCAGGTGAGTATGCTGTCCATGTGCTCTGCAACAATGAGGACATCCAACACTCTCAGTTAAGATTAGTTTTCATGATTGTTGCTTCAAGGCCTGAGATTATGGTGGTGGGCTTGTGATGGACACACTTTTCATGGCTGAAACCTCTCCTGTAGAGGCTAAGCCTAGGCTTGAAGCCACTGGGGTGTTCGTTGGCGACGCGATGTCACTGGTATGCATGAAGTTATTAAACTTGATACAGTCCAATAACTTCATCCTTACTCATCTTGTTGCTAATTACGTGTGTCTACCTTAAATATCTTCACAAACTCAAAATGTGACCTCTAGCACCAAACGCTTGCTGCAGTTCTTGGTGTCAGAGGTGACACACAAGGTATCAGGTTTTCGGTGCAATTACTTTTTCATATAGGACCAAGTATGTTTGGATAGCTTTTTCCCCTTGAAAACTGCCGTTTAATATTAGACATTCTTTTATGTGAACGGCTGTGTGCAGGCAGGAAAAGGACCCAAAGGCAACAAAACTAGGAATACAAAATACTAGTGACACTGCTTCAGAAGCACTGTGTCGAAGCTTGATTCGTTTGGCCAGAGTCACGTGATCAGTGACGTCCGAAGCTTCATTTAGAACCTAACTGCTTCGGTGTCTGATTCAATGGTTTATAAGGAAATAAATCATTCGTGGGATTTGTGGAGCGTTTTGATGGTGACAGATAGCAAACCACTGATATTTCTACTGAGAGATTTGGAGCCAGCGAGGAATAGAGGGGGTTCTGTTGTGTGGGAGAATTTTGAGTTGATTTTTGTCAATCGGGTGGGTTTTCCAGCTTTGTGTTCTGGCCGTTTGCTTTTGTTTTGTGCCTGTTTATTATATCTGAAAACGGGAAAAAGGTGAAATGTCAAAAATCTGCTTCCATAATATAAATATCATTAAATAACTTTAGAAAAACTTCCACTTGACTCTTTACATGTAATATTGTAAAAATATATATTTTATTGTTTAATTAATCTGAAAATGTTAGTCTGCCAAATGTGCAGCAATTGGATTTATTTATTCTCTTTATCTGATAGTTTGTGGGGCCCAGGTAGACTGTATAACTGCATCTCTACCAGTTTCTCTGCACTCCAGCCTCCTCTGTGCCATGTGAAGGGGTTTCCCTTAAGGCAGGAGAAATTATCTCCATGAAAAGGAACAGGTTCGGCCATCGCAGAGTGAAACAAATTCTCTTCTTAAATAAAAATGAAAAAGGGCTACTTTAAATGCATCATGTTTTTAATTTGCAAGTTCATAAGCATTTTCCTTTTCCATCTCACAATCAATTCTCCCCCCAGGTCAAAAATATGTCTGGGGAAATTTCCCTAATATAATATTATTTATAAATATACCCGTCTAGCGGTTAATTGCATAAGTGCATGGAGACAGGACCTCACAGCAGAAGCATACTCCATAATGTGTTGTACATTATCATATGTATATTATATGTAATGTGGTATTTTTCAATAATTTTATTTACCAACATCAAGAAGTCACAAGCAAAGAAAGACCACACAATGGTGCATGTTTAAACAAGGAGAGTTTACTGGTCAAAATTATTTATTAAACAAATAAACCACATTTTTTTAACCACCCAAAAATACACGTTTAAAGCAACACCGCGGCCCAATATCAGACAGAACTCCACTCTGTCAAGTGGGCAATCATTATGAAGCAACTGGTTTTATTTTGTGGATTCAAGCTGCTCTTAATATTTGTGGCCACCAGATGTCACCAGAGAGGACTGTGTTGAAAAGCTTTGAGTAATGAACCATTTTTTCAACACAAGCTTCAGAAAGATTCATTTGGCCATCACTACAAAATACACTTACGCAGACAGAACACACAGCTAGATGGCTCACAGCACAAACACAGGGAAACACAGGGCTTAAATACACAGAGGGAGCAATCAGGGAATGGGTAACAGGAAGGAAACACAGCTAGGGCAAATCAGGCCTAACGAGACAAAGGAAGCAAAACCAGACGCATTTACATGAGACACCGACTTTCAAAGTAAAACAGGAAACAAAACACAGAGACGCGAACTTGACAAGGGGATACAGCTGACAGGGGAGACAGAGCAACTAGAGAACACAGAGACATAAACCATAAGACAGAACTCAAAGAAACCAAAGACTGGAAATGATCAATAATATAATAAACTCAAAACCCTGGGTCAACGACCCAGGCATCCTAACACGTTCTTGTCTAATGTTATAAATGTATTGATCTGAAACGTGTAAGTGTGACAAATATGGAATAAGATACGAAAGCAGAAAGGAGGCAAATACTTGTTCACAGCGCTATAGTCTGTAAATGGTCTTCTTTTGGCTATAGTAGATCTTTTACTTGTTCATTTTTTAATTGTTTGTTAAAATTGTTTTTTTCGATCATATTGAGTATAGAGGAATGCAACTGTGAGCTTTAGCGATTAGCCCGTTTCAACAGGACCATGAGGACCTGATGTGTGAGACAGCAGGGTGCTGCCACTGGTGTTGTAATGTGTGATTTAGTTCCTCCTAACATTTCAGTTTGCTTCCAGTATCTATCCTCTGTGATTACTGGCTCTTTAGACAGATTTAATAGAAGTGTGTGAGCTATTGGCTCAGTATAAAGGGTCAGTAGTGTTTTCATGTCACCTATCCATCCTCCTTTTAGTCACCCAAAGCATGTAGTAAATACTCCTCACTTTTATTCATCTTCTCTTAAATTCAGACAAATTCCAGCTTGATAACATTGAGTGTGTGTGTGTGTGTGTGTGTGTGTGTGTGTGTGTGTGTGTGTGTGTGTGTGTGTGTGTGTGTGCGTGCGTGTGTGCATGCGTGCGTGCGTGCGTGGCAGTTGCAGCCACCAAGTTGAACACCATCACCAAATCCAACCTGGGTCAGTGTGTCAGCAAGTACGACCTGCTGGTCTGGTTTGAGATCAGCAAGCTGGAGCCCACTGGAGAGTGAGTATCCACCTGGAGTGTTATATTCACGCACAAGCTTTAAAGGAACCATAAAAATTATCTCCACGAAGAATATTATAAGTTGGGATGTTGTGTCACCTCCTCCCTCCATGCACAGGTACATCCCAGCCATCGTGGATCACAGTGGAGGCCTGCCCTGTCATGGTACCTACCTGCTGCACCAGGTACAGGATTGGTGCACATGTTGGTAACTGCTTCCTTTGTACACAGTTGAATATTTTCCTTTTAAAGTGTAATGTTGCTCTAGCTGTGCTCACTGTGATCCTGAGCTCCTGTTATGTTTGCTGCAGGAGATCCAGCGGAGGATCAGAGTGACCCTCATCCACGAGAAGAGCAGCGAGCTCCATTGGAAAGATGTTCATGAGGTGGTTGTAGGTGAGCAGCCTACAGAAAACAAAATCCCCAAAGCACAGAAACAATGTTTTATAGTGTTTGTGTGCTTTTGATAGAGGAAGACAGGACAGAACATCATTAAAGGGATTTGACTTTGTGAGATCACACTGAAAACGCACCACTCGGTTCAGCTGCTGACTCTGAAGCCAACAGGCTCTTGAGTGTGGATGATTGTGTTGGTACTGGATGCTGTGATAAAACAGCTGTTCTGATCTGTCTTCATTCATGCCTGTCGTTATTGAGCCTCCTATTCAATTCAATTCATTTTATTTATATAGCGCCAAATCACAACACAAGTCGCCTCAAGGCGCTTCATAGATACAGAGAAAAACCCAACAATCATATGACCCCCTATGAGCAAGCACTTTGGCAACAGTGGGAAGGAAAAACTCCCTTTTAACAGGAAGAAACCTCCGGCAGAACCAGGCTCAGGGAGGGGCGGCCATCTGCTGCGACCGGTTGGGGTGAGAGAAGGAAGACAGGATAAAAGACATGCTGTGGAAGAGAGACAGAGGTTAATAACATATATGATTCAATGCAGAGAGGTCTGTTAATACATAGTGAGTGAGAAAGGTGACTGGAAAGGAAAAACTCAATGCATCATGGGAATCCCCCGGCAGCCTACATCTATTGCAGCATAACTAAGGGAGGATTCAGGGTCACCTGGTCCAGCCCTAACTATATGCTTTAGCAAAAAGGAAAGTTTTAAGCCTAATCTTGAAAGTAGAGATAGTGTCTGTCTCCTGAATCCAAACTGGAAGCTGGTTCCACAGAAGAGGGGCCTGAAAACTGAAGGTTCTCCCTCCCATTCTACTTTTAAATACTCTAGGAACAACAAGTAGGCCTGCAGTGCGAGAGCGAAGTGCTCTAATAGGGTGATATGGTACTACAAGGTCATTAAGATAAGATGGGGCCTGATTATTTAAGACCTTATATGTGAGGAGCAGGATTTTGAATTCAATTCTGGATTTAACAGGAAGCCAATGAAGGGAAGCCAAAACAGGAGAAATATGCTCTCTCTTTCTAGTCCCTGTCAGGACTCTTGCTGCAGCATTTTGGATTAGCTGAAGGCTTTTCAGCGGGTTTTTTGGACATCCTGATAATAATGAATTACAGTAGTCCAGCCTGGAAGTAATAAATGCATGAACTAGTTTTTCAGCGTCACTCTGAGACAGGATATTTCTAATTTTAGAGATGTTGCGCAAATGGAAGAAAGCAGTCTTACATATTTGTTTAATATGTGCATTGAAAGACATGTCCTGGTCAAAAATGACTCCAAGGTTCCTCACAGCGTTACTGGAGGCCAAGGTAATGCCATCCAGAGTAAGAATCTGGTTAGCTACCATATTTCTAGGCTTTTCAGGGCCGAGTACAATAACCTCAGTTTTATCTGAATTAAGAAGCAGAAAGTTAGTGGCCATCCAGGTCTTTATGTCTTTAAGACATTCCTGCAGTTTAACTAATTGGTGTGTATTATCTGGCTTCATAGATAGATAGAGCTGGGTGTCATCTGCATAGCAGTGAAAATCTATGCTATGTCTTCTAATGATACTGCCTAATGTAAACAGAATTGGTCCTAGCACTGAACCCTGTGGAACTCCATAATTAACCTCAGTGTGTGAAGAGGACTCTCCATTTACATGCACAAATTGGAGTCTATTAGATAGATATGATACAAACCACTGCAGTGCAGTACCTGTAATATCTACAGCATGTTCTAATCGCTCTAATAGGATATTATGGTCGACAGTATCGAATGCTGCACTAAGGTCTAGCAGGACAAGCACAGAGATGAGTCCACTGTCAGAGGCCATAAGAAGATCTTTTATAACCTTCACTAAAGCTGTTTCTGTGCTGTGATGAGCTCTTAAACCTGACTGAAACTCTTCAAATAAACCATTCCTCTGCAGATGATCTGTTAGCTGTGTGACAACTACTCTTTCAAGGATTTTTGATATGAAAGGAAGGTTGGAGATTGGCCTATAACTAGCTAAGACTGCTGGGTCTAGAGATGGCTTTTTGAGTAAAGGTTTAACTACAGCCAGCTTGAAGGCCTGTGGTACATAGCCGATTATTAGAGATAGGTTGATCATATTTAAGATCGAAGAATTAATTAATGGCAGGACTTCTTTGAGCAGTTTTGTAGGAATGGGGTCTAAAAGACACGTTGATGGTTTGGAGGAAGTAATTATTGAAGTTAACTCAGAAAGATCAATTAGAGAAAAAGAGTCTAACTTAACATCGATGGTACTAAGAGTAGCTGTAGATAATATTACATCTGTGGGATGATTACTGGTAATTTTTTCTCTAATGATAAAAATTTTATTTGTGAAGAAGTTCATGAAGTCATTACTAGTTAACGTTAAAGGGATTGTTGGCTCAAAAGAGCTCTGACTTTTTGTCAGCCTGGCTACAGTGCTGAAGAGAAACCTGGGGTTGTTCTTATTTTCTTCAATCAGTGATGAATAGTAAGATGTTCTGGCTTTGTGGAGGGCTTTCTTATAAAGCAACAAACTATTTCTCCAGGCTAAATGATGATCCTCTAAATTTGTGACACGCCATTTCCTCTCCAGATTACGAGTCATCTGCTTTAAGGTACGTGTTTGAGAATTATACCACGGAGTCAGGTACTTCTGATTTGAGACCTTAGTTTTCACAGGAGCTACAGTATCCAGAGTCGTACGTAGTGAGGAGGTGAAATTATTAACAAGATAATCGACCTCTGTTGGAGTAGCGTTCAGATAGCTGCTCTGCTCTATGTTGGTACAGGGCATTGAAGATGATAACAGTGGGTGGATTATATTCTTAAACTTAGTTACAGCGCTTTCAGAAAGACATCTACTTTGATAAAGTCTACTCTCCACCGCTGTGTAATCAATTACTGTAAATGTAAATGTAAACTCCAAACCAGTAAAAGCGATCTTTGGAGGCAGCACCCTTTTTAGTACTTTGCTGTATTTGTTTGTGATTGTGTGACACTGAACCACAGTGCTATGTATATCCTCTGTAACACTCAGACGTTCCCAGATCAATGTTTCCCCCTCAGCTGTTTCTCACTATAGAGTCTTTCCTCAGTAACAATGAGGCCAATGAGGCACCAGCAGAGCATATCTGGCTCTCAGTCTGTGGCTGATAGTGCCCCCTGCTGTTAATAACAGGAACAGTGTAACTTTGTATGGAGCTCATAGTGATGGTCTTAAGATTGCTGCTTCAAGGCAGTAATATGTATCCATGTGTGCTGTCTATTCTGAGCATATGCAGTTATGTGAGCTCTCTGGATTTATGTATCAGGACATAATTAAAAAAAATCAGGTCCTTAGTAGGTCTTAATATGAGGTAAATGCAACCTCAGATGAACAACACATAACACTTTATACCAGGTCATTATTTATTTAACACACACTGAGCTGAAATTCAGATGTTTCAAAAACTAAGTACATCCAAGACTATTTCCATAATTATTTAAGAGGGTCAGTATTAGCCAAGTGCTAATCAAGTGCACTAGATCATCAGTAAGTGTAACCACTACTGTCAGTTTGCTGGTGTGGTGTATTCAGGTAAGTGGTAACATACTGAGGAGGAGAGAAGCAGTTGTTGATACCCATGAATGTGGGAAGGCTTTGAAGTCAATCATTTTACAGCAAGAAAATTTATTCGCAAGTTAAAAAAATCAAAGACTGTTTCCAATCTTACCAGGAGTGGACGTCCCAGAAAATTCACCCCACACATCTGAGGCTCTACAGGCCACAGTTAGCATGCTAAATGTTGGAGTTCATGGCAGTGCAGTTAGAAAAAGACTCAACAAATATGGCCTGTTTGGAAAGACTTCCAGGAGAAACCATTTTCCCTCTAAATACAACATGGCAGCATGGGTTAGGTTTGCAAAGTTGAAAAGCTAAGCCCTAATGCACAGCTTCAACATTGGTGAAAACCAAACACGGCATATCAGCACAAACACCTCATACCAACAGTTTTGCTCGGGTGATGATTATTTGGGCTTTTTTTGCTGCCAAAGAAGCTGCAAAGTGTCCAGGTCCCTGAGTGAGCCATGAAGTACTCTAGAGTCAAAGAGATCATCGTTGGGTCAGTGATTCCAGAGCGCAGCAGCAAAGCAACAACAGAGTGGTGCTGCAGTGGCTCAAAGTTGAGACTTCAACATGATTGAACGTTAAGAAAGCTGTGAATGAATAAACATCTGCAAACTTCAATGAACCGAAGAAACATTGTAAAGACAAACGGGCCAGAAATCCGTCCACACTGCTGTGAAACACTAATAAAAAATGATTACCTCAAGTTTTTGCTGCTAAAGTTGGTTCTATCAGCTGCTGAATCACAGGATGTACTTGGTTATAGTCATTTGTGCATTTTGGGTTGCTTTAAATAAATAATGATGTGTTGTAATCATCCAGATCTAGAACCTTAAACTGCTTTTTCACGTGTCTGTAAATGAATTTCTTTCTTATCATTGGTGTGGGCTGACACTTGACACTCTGTGGCTCCTGATTTGTCTGTTGTCAAGGTCTCACCTCAGTGTGCTTCTTCACGTTTTGTCATGATTAAAGGATGAATGTGAACACCGCTTCAGTCACTGTGTTCACTTCCTGATATGTCAGAACTGTGCTCACGTCACTCACTTTTTTTAACAACATGACACACTGCTGTAAACAGAGACCCTGTAATGTTAGCACCAAGTAGGACTTCATAAAAAATAATGCTGTCAAGCTAACTTTTGCTCTTTCTGTCTTTTTCAGGACTTTGAGGCAGTGTGGGACAGCTCCCTGCACAACTCCCTCCTGCTCAACCGCGTCACTCCCTACGGAGAGAAGATCTACATGACCTTATCTGCGTATCTGGAGGTCAGCCGCTGCTCCGCCATGTTGTACCTGTTTGTACGTGTTTTTAAGTCTCTTGATGTCATCGTGTCTAACACACACCCTTTATCTCCTCTCTGCAGCTGGACCATTGCATCCAGCCTGCCATTATCACCAAAGACCTCTGCACGGTCTTTTAATCCCAAGACGCCAAGATTTCCCCACCCTGTTCTCTCAAGAACCTCTTTGGGACTGGATACTCCAAAACTCCTGACTGGTAAATCTGGGCTGCTGTACTGTGGCCATCTCTGTTTCACAATCAAAGATATCTGCCCTGTTACAAAGTTTCCTTCTTCATAACTTCTGCTTCATTATAGCAACCGAGTGACTGGGATCTACGAGCTGAGCTTGTGTAAGACATCTGACACTGGAAGCCCAGGTGAGCAGACATGAAACATGAGGGCTCATGTCCTGAGCAGGGATGCAGAGGAGGACGGTCCTGGACACATCATGTTATTTGTCTCCTGAAATGAGTTTCATTCTATTTTTTATTATTTTTTGTTGTTGTTGGTTTTTTATTAAATTAAGATGCTTGCATGATAATTTCCCCCAGGGATCAATAAAGTATTCTGATTCTGATACCTGCAGCAGTCCTCAGGAGAAGACCAGGTTTGCTCAGTTTAGAACAAAAAACAAAAATGAACCAAATCAGCCAGCTTACATTTGAAACCGTGACGAAAAAATCTACAGATATCTCCAAGTGACGTGTTAGTTTACGCTCTGCTACCTAAACCATAGCTGCTAATAGATTTATAGGGTATTTTTCTTCTTGCAGTGAATTTGCATCAGGCTGAACCGTCTCTGAAACAAAAACTCAAAGTGGGAATGAACTTTGACAGGAGGGCCACGCCCAATTTCCTCTGTCATCCACGTCATACTTAGATCCTCCTCAATCTGTGTACATACGCCGCCTCTAAACCGCCGATAGTGCCAGTGTCAGTTAGTGCGTCAGTAAAATACTCATGCATTTGTGTTAACATAAAAACTGCAGACTAACTAGAGACAAACAAGCGAGGATCGCTTCATATCTCAGCAGTTTAAAAAAACAAACAATGACCGATTGTTCCTGCACGAGTAGATTCGGGCCCCTTTTTGCTTTTTCATCCCAAGGAATAAAAACAGGGTTACAAGAAGATGAGGAGGACTAGGAGGATGAAAACGAACTAAAGAGAGAACTTGATTTGTACATGCGGTCTGTTCTGGGATCAGTGTGTGTCACGGACCCGGTTCCAGGGACTCGGGGTCCGTGTGCAGTATGGACTTGTTGTTGTTGTTATTATTATTATTATTATTATTATATTATATGTATGTGTTCTGTGCTTCTGCTGTCCTGTGTCCATGCTTGTGTTTTGGCAGGTGTGTGGGTGCAGTCATGGCAGGCACTTTCAGCTCTGGTGAGTGTGGCCTTGCCAGCTACCGGTCACACCCAGGAATCTCCACACATACCTGGTGTCATGGTCCTGAGTCTGAGGACTCGATGTTTTGTGTTTCTTTATATTCTTCTATATACTTGTTTATTCTGCCTTGTCTTTTGTTTAGGTTTGCTATGTGTTAGTGTGCTTGTTTCATGCCTGCCTGTGTTCCCTCTGTCTGTCCATGGTGTCACTGTGTCTGCTCGTGAGTCTGCCTGCCAAGTTCAGTGTCCGTTCTGGTTCTGTCTGTTAGTTTCCTGTTTTATTCTGAAAGTTCATGTCTCATATCAATGTGTTCAGTTTTACCTTTCTCCTGTCTCGTTAGCCTAATTTCTCCCAGCTGTGTCTCCCTCCTGTTGCTCATTTCCTAATTACTCCCCTGTGTATTTAAGCCCTGTGTTTTCCTGTGCTCCCTGTCGTGTCGTACCCTCATGCTGTGTGTTTCTACCTGTAGCTCCCTGTGTGTTTTGTTAGAGTCTTCCCAGTTTAGATTTTGTTGTTTTTTGTGTTCAGCAATAAAAGCTGCCATTTTGAGTTCCGTCCTGTCTCCAGTGAGTTTGCGTTTCAGTCCAATTCCTGCCGGCACACAGCCGTACTATGACACCTGGCGCCGATCTAGCTTCATCAGAGGAGCTTCAAAACAGTGTGGCTGAGAGCTCCTCGACGCTGGATCGTTGACTTCCCGTCAGTCTCGGTTTATGTGCAAGGTCTGGCGTCAGGTGTTGTACTCACGGCTGCCTTTGTGTTTCCCCAGGAGGAATTGTGGAGACCAGGAAGCAGCACACGGACAGTACACAGGGAACGGGCACGGAGCACGGGTTAAAGGAGAAGACACGGAACAGGAGTCGGGATCGCACAAGGTATTTATTGTTGCTTGGATTTACACCACTGTAAATAAACGCATTGCCTTCATCATCAGGTCCTGCATTTTGGGTCCTCATTCCTCTGACAGCTTCTGAAGTCGTTCAAAGTTGCTTAGCCCTTTGAACGACTTCAGAAGCTGTCTTTTTTATGTTTGTCTTCAGAGTTTAGGAACTGTTTGCCTGTCAAACCATGGACCATGAGCATGGAGCGGGAGTCAGGAGCACGTTCATGGAAACCACTTCTTTCCTTCTGTTTCACGATTGTTCACATTTCTCACTGTAAATAAACACACCGACTCTGATGGGAAAATCCTGCATTTGGTCCCGGTTCTTGCCACGCATCTTGACATAAGTAATAAACACTTTGATTTAGAAACTGCATTTTGTGTTCACTTGTGTTATCATTATCTAATATTTAAATTTGTTTAATGATCTGAAACAGTTTTTCACATCACTGTACGTACGTAGAAGTTCTACTCAAACTCTATGAACAGAATCATTCTAACAATGTGAACCAAGCTGTCACTGCATCTGTACTAATACTCAGTTTGTAAGTACAGACATGATTCCTCATGCTACAAAACAACCCTAAGAGATGCGGTTAATATATTGACCAGTTGGGTAAACTTGTCAACACTGTTCTTCAGAGGATAAAGTGCTGGTGCTATGTTCCACCACCAGACTTGCACACAATGTTGCAGAGATGTGCCAAGCAGGAAAGCACAAGAGCCTTAAGGCTAGTTCCAGAACTTTCTTTTTTTAAAATTGTAATTCTAACAATCATTTTATTAAAATACAGATGAATCACTGACTTGTGATGCTATTGTTTCTGTTTCTTCAGTCATATCTCCTCCTGTTTTCCTGCTTTAGTGATGCAGGCGTCTCTCTTACACCATCATCACTTCCTCCACTTCACCTTTAGGTAAACTTGCTTATTTGCAAAGATAAGTAGAAGCATGACAGTATGTGGATGATCCAGAGTCATTAACAAACACACAGAACAAAGTTTGCACAGGTTTTCTGTAATTTTGTGTGTGCACGTGTTTTTTGTTTGCACAGGACAATGTTTCCATACACATACTGAATGAGGACCAATGTTTTTGAATGAAAACTGGATCTACTTAGTTCTGCCTGTATTTTCTTCACATGTCTACACTGATATGACTGCACAATTTTAAGAGTTTAAGCAGCCATAGAGGGAACGGTGCCACTACGCCTTGGAAGATGAGGGCCGATTCAAACTTTTTATATTTTGTGTTTAATATAACTGACAATGACTAGGAAACCTAAAAAAGATGATACAACACATTAACACACAGAGTATATAATAACACAAATAATCGTACTGGCGATGATTGCTCGTATTAGGTGAATTAAAATCCACCAAGAATGCATTTAAGGTTTTGTTTCTTTCATTACACTTTCAGTTGACATGTGCTTTTCAAATGTTATATTTAAACTGTTTAATATAGTGGTCATTCCATCCACCCACCTTTTATCTTTAATAGTTTTTTAGATGTTGGTGAAAAAAGTGTTCATGACAGTGTAGATTTCTGGTATTTTGTGTAAATTTAAACATGTAACAATTCAATTATTTCTAATAATAAAAAAGTGTGAAACTGACGTTAGACTTGTTTGGAAATGAACCACCCCATGTTGTGTAGCTTTGTGGATTTTATACTTACTGGATACATACTTATTTATTATATAGGCTGTACAGTACATAAAATGAAAAAATTGCATGTTTTATGTAACTGAAATGTTTAATCAGGTAGATTAAAGAAAATAAGAATGTTACAAAGTATATTTATATGAAACGTGTACACTTACTGCGTTTGATGTATTTTAATGATATAATGTAACACATGCAACAGGAAAAAAGCCAAACTCTGTGAGGTTTTTTTTATGTGTTCATTTTTGTGCACAACATCTGAAATCAGTCTGTCAATTCAGGCATTAGTGCTCAACCATCTCAGCTGTTGGTCAAATGCTTTTTCCATCAAACTCAGGTCATAAAACCCCAATATTTTACTTTATTAAATCCCTGTGATTCGTTGCTTTGTTGTGACTCTTTGGACATACTGAAGAATGAGATTCGCACTTATTGTTTTACACGTTAACATGAAATACAGTCCTTATAAAGGAAAGCTTTCTTCTTGTTTTTAGTCACTTCATCAAAGACCTCCCAAAACATCTGTATGGTGAGGTGGTCTGCGCTTTATTCACCTTCATAATGTGTGTTCTAATCATAGTGAAAGAGACTGTTAGATATACCAAAGATAACTCATTCACAATAATGGGATGTGATAAAAGAATTGCAGACAAATTACATCTTTGTGTCACTAACAGCTGTTTATCTGTTTCAGCTTTTCCCAGTCACTGAAGTCTTTGCCCACCATCACTTCTTGCAGCTCCTTTGGCCTGAAGAGTTTCACCAAATCCTGCTCACACACCAGGAAGAAGCCTCTCTTGAACTCCTGAAACACATTCTCCACTGATGTGTTGAAGGCATGATTCACGTAGGCATCCACAAACTCCTTCCTGTTTGGAAGATAAAAGTAGTGATTTACATCCACACTTTGGTCAAATCATGAACTGTTCTGTTCCATTTTGTTTAAAGAGTGGTCGCTTTATATCTCTGCCACTGATATTTTACTGTGGTTACTTGTCCCATGGTAATTCATTGTGTAGAAACCTGAAAATTTGTGGTGTGCTTCAAGGATATGCATTCGACCTCTTTCTGTTAGATGCTTCACATTGGCCACAAACGAGTTTATGTAATAAAGCTTTGTTTCTTTGTAGATGATATGCGGTTATATATTTCTGTAAACTGACTTTACAGATCAGCTGCATTTGTAGGCTGATCTAGAGTTATTAGATTAGATTAGATCATAATAAGTGATGACTTGTTATTATCTATAGCATCTGTCTGGCTGGAAGAAACTATGCTTGCTTTTTTAACATATACTATGAAAAACATTTTTTTTCAAATATATGTCCCAGCTTTCATCACTTGTGACTCTATTGTACTACTGTACTCTTTCTTCTTCAAATCGTGTTAAGGAAACCTCAGACTGCAGTAATTAGGGATTTACTGACACCAGGTAAGCAATGTTTAGTGTAAAATACACTTTTTTATTGTTCCAACAAATAACCAATGTTACATATGTTAAAGATTTATTATTGGAAATAATTCAACCCCACCAGAATTAAATAAAACACAAAGAATAAAGTGATAAATAATACAGAAGTGCTCTATTGGATTGTATTACATAGTCAGATGTTTATAGCAATATAGTAGTTATAAAGCAATACATTCTCCTGTTCATGTTTGTCTGAGCATAAAAATTAGATTTGATTCATAAGAATTATAATGCAGCAGTAACTTAAATTATTGGATAAATTATGACATATTAAGAAAAGTCAGATAATTCTAAAGTGCCGTATGATGCTGATGCTGTTACACAGCAGTCTTATGTAGGGATGTTGAATTTTTTGAAAAAGATACATGTTACAAAGTCAAGTTGTGCATTTTCTATAGTGTAATATTAATGTAATACAGTGTAAATTATCCTGAGGTACCACAGGAAAAAAAAGATGAGTTCCCAGAGTAAAAATAAATCTCATCCCTCCTCCTCAGCTCAGACACAGTGCACGCTCCTTTAGAGCTGCATACGATCCACCATCACAGTGTGAAATCTGTATCTGCTAGCAGGGCCTCTGTCAGTCTGTCTCGCATGATCTCCTTAGTTGAGTAAAAAGGCAGATACAGATTAGAGTGACATGTCTCTGACTCAGGGAAGTGCTGATCACAGGTGCCACTCTGAAACTGCACCTTCATCTTGACCTGGTCGATGCCAAGAATAGGAGCTCTCCTGTAACCAGTCAGGAACCCTGATGAACAACAATGGAAAGAAAATATAATTTTACTTAATTAATGATAGTTAGACAGCTATCAATGTCAGTATATTGTGAAAAAGCTCATCAATATCCAAAAAATTCTATAGGAAGATAGCACTGCTCATCATTTTTGGTCATTTGGTTGGCTCACCTAAGCTAGCTTATACTAAAAATGTTATCTCATTAAGCAAATAATTAACAACGTTTTAGTAAATTTGAAAACTTTTACATACATCTTATCATCATCACATCACAGGAAAAAGTATTTTTGCATATTTGTCACATTTATGTGTAAAAAGTAAATACAAAACACAATTGTTAATTTATCATTTCATTCATTAAGGGAAAAATTATTCAAGCCTAGCTGGCCCTATGTGAAAAAGCAATTGACCTCTAAATGTATTAACTGGTGGAAGCATCCTGGCAGCAAGAACTGCAGTCAAGTGTTTGTGATAACTGGTAATGAATCTTTACATAGCTTTGGGAGGAATTTCGGCCCACTTTCCTTGGCATACGTTTTTGTACTTTGAACAAGCATAATAAAAACAGAATCAGGGCCCAGTGCAAAAACACATGGCTTTTTTAAAAGGCTTAACCAGGCTATGAAGAATCTTTCATTTGACTGAAATATTGTTATTAAGGTATATTCGTCAGATCTGCAATAAGCCGGGTACTGACCTATTCAAATTATAGTAAGAGAGTCACTACGTTGTCATTATACTTAAAATCATCTGTCAGAATTTGAGGTGTTGTGTCTCTTTTGCATTTGATGACTAACTCAAACATAAAGCAGCTTTACAGTATATTAATCAGAACAATGCTGCTCTCTAATATATCTTGGTAAAGTGCAGAAAAATCTAATGTTTTATATGATACAGTGTGATTTCAGTAACATATCATAATGGAGGCTTCAGCAAGTACTTACGAAGGAAATCTTTCCTCTGCTCTTCAGTTAGTTCATCAAATACCTCCCAAAACATCTGTATGGTGGGGTGGCGGTCATGATATTTCCAACCATAACTTGTGTTCTGAAAACAGTGAAAATGACTGTTATAATAGAGTTTTTAAAGTCAGGCATATATACACTATGTTGCCAAAAGTATTCCCTAACCCAGGGGTCAGCAACCTTTAAGACCCAAAGAGCCATTTGGACCCGGGTTCAACGTAAAAGAAAACACTGGGAGCCGCAAATACTTTTTGACATCTACAATGAAGATAATATATATTGTTTTTTACCTTTATGCTTTGTGTGAAAAACTAAGGTGTGTTGCTTATGAAATCCATGAAGTGCTACAGAGAAAGTTACATTTTATTAATGTAATTAACACATTTTGAACTCTTAAAGAAACATAACAAAAGGAAAGACACCCAGCTGAACTAAAATGATCCATGTAGCAAACAAAAACTGTGAGCCGCCACCCTTATATCGGCTTTTGGAGCCTTGACCTCACTTTTAAAAAATAATTGGAAAAAAAGCCCTATGCTGCTAAAAAATGAAAAATAGATATTTGCAAAATTCTGCCTAAATATGTATTTTACCTGGTTAATGTGTGTGGCGGGGCGTGGTCTGCAGGGGAGGCGGACGCACCTGAGCGCCACCCGCAATCACACCTCGCCGCCTTAACGTCTGTGCCATCTATGCTGTTGTGTTGTTGTTGCTATGTGTTGGGCTGTGAGCTGAAAAGCTACAGCCGGCTGTATGCGTACAGCAACCGTGTGTGAAAAGTGGTCAATAAAGAGATGCTGAAAAGCACGTTCATGGAGACATCGTCGGGTCTGCCATGGTATGTTTACAATGGGACTTCTGCTCCTGAACCTCTGTGCACAGCGTCTGCAAATCAGGGCTGTACGAAGTCACTTTCATCTTCACGCAGGACTGTAAACTGTCATCTGTGAGGCGTGAGCGGTGTTTGTTTTTAACATAGTTCACGGTGGAGAACAGCTGCCGACATAATGTGGATCCGAAGATCCATAATTGGCCTACCTGGGGTTGAAAGTCTCGATAAATGCACGGCGTTTCAGCGGGTACACCGGCTTCCGCGAGTGTGGCGCTTATTTTGAGCGATGAAAAAATAATAAATAATTTTATTTTTATATTTCAATATCACAATAATCTTCCAATGTAGAACTACAAGTTAAAAAAGAACTAACATAAATAAAATACACTTCAGTTAAATACTTAACTTATTTTCCCAAGCCACGCAGAGCCGCTCTATACGGACTAAAGAGCCGCAGGTTGCCGACCCCTGCCCTAACCCATCCAAATCATTGAAATTGAAATTTCCTTGCTATTAAATATTCCATAGTCAGCTGTTAGTGATATTAAAACAAAGTGGAAGTAATTGGAAATGACAGCTAATCAGCTGATTCTAAGGCTCATAGTGCACTTAAGTCACCAATATCTGCAGTCTGCTATTGCTACAGATGTCCAAACTTCATTGGTTTCCATGGCTGAGCAGCTGCATCCCAGCCTTACATTGACAAACACAATGCAAAGCGTCAGATGGAGTGATTTAAGCATCTCAACACGGGACTCTAAAGCAGTGGAGATGTGTTTACTGGAGTGACGAATCACACTTCTCTGACTGGCAATCCGATGGATGTGTCAGGGTTTGGTGGTTGCCAGAAGTACTTGTCTGACTGCACTGTGCCAAGTGTAAAGTGTGGTGGAGGGGCGGTTTGTTGTGGGGCTGTTTATCAGGAGTTGGGTTCGCCCCCTTAGTGCAGATGAAAGGAACTCTTAATGCTTCAGCATATCAAGACAATTTCATGCTTCCAGTTTGGGGATGGCCACTTTCTGTTCCAACATGGCTGGGCACCAGTGCACAAAACAAGGTCCATAAAGACATGGAAGAGCGAGTTTGGTGTAGAAGAACTGGACTAGCCTGCACAGAGTCCTGACCTCACCCTGATAGAACATCTTTGGGATGAATTAGAGCAGCAACTATGAGCCAGGCCTTCTCCTCCAACATCAGTGTCTGACACCACAAATGCACTTCTGGAAGAATAGTCAAAAAATTCCCATAAACACACCTAAACCTTGTGGAAAGCTTTCCCAGAAGAGTTGAAGCAGTTATAGCTGCGAAGGGTGGGCTGACTATTGTATTATACTATCATACAAAAGTCTGGATTAAGACTGAGATGTGACTCAAGTTCATATTTGTGTTAAAGCAGCCGACTGAATGCTTTTGGCAGTACACAGTTATTGTGCTACAGGACAGCTGTGAAACTACAGCCTGTGTCTGTTTGGCTGAATGTACCTGTTTGAACTTTTCCCAGTCATACACGTCCTGGCCGACCAGCACTCCCTGCAGCTCCTCTGGTCGAAACAGCCTCACCAAATCCTGCTCACACACCAGGAAGAAGCCTCGCTTGAACTCCTGGAACACACTCTCCACTGATGTGTTGAAGGCATGATTCACATAGGCCTCCACAAACTCCTTCCTGTTTAGGAGGGAAAATGTTAAATTAGCAAATATTTCACAGAGACAAAGGTGCTGCAGATGAACCTCACAAGCACGTCATGTTTTATATGCTTACTTATTTTGACTTGTCAGTGGCTTTCCAGGAGTTTGAGGATCCAGGTCAACATATGTTCCATCCCAGTTTATCTGTAAATTAGTTATAAATCAGATGAGTTTAGCTGCAAAACCTGAGAATGAGACAGATTACTGATCATCTTCTATAGTAAAACACATACCCAAAAGTCCATGTAGAGATTATCCAGAACATCATCTTCATAGTTTAAGATAGTCTGCAGACTCCTTTAAAGAAATTAAAACAAAAAGTTGTATCAAAAGAAGTTCAACTATGTACATTTTACAGCAGCCACAAGTTACTGTAACTTTTGACACACCACAACTTAAAATACATCCATCCATACATTTTCTTCTGCTTGTCCGGGGCCAGGCTGTGGGACCAGCAGCAGCATGTGTTACTGAAATGAAATGGATACTTACCGTCCAACAGTCGGGCTGAACTCCTTCATATCCTCCAGTGTCGGCTCTAAACTGAGTAGCTTCTTGAACAGAACCAGTGGGAATGGTAAGTGTATGATACACTGGTTGTACAAGGCCAAGCCACACAGTAGTCCAAACAGGAAGAAGTTTCTCTTGCTCTCCTCTGTTGCCTGCATTAATAAAAATTCACTTTGGTTTATTTTTGGTTCATTATTGCTTATCGTTTAAATTTGAATCTTTTAACCAATTTTATACAGTTGGTGGGTTCAGTTTTAAAGTCTTACATTGGAGGGAAACCATGCCAGGGTTTTGGAGTCATTGAGCATGAACATCCCAGATTCTTCTGACACCATTTTAAGAAACAGGTGGTGAAAAAGGTCTCGTTTGTAGACATCTGTGCTGTTTGGATCCTCATCAAAATGGACCTGAGAAATATAAATATTAGAGATGCTTCTGGAAAGAACAGTTGCAGAAGAATGGCTATGCATTAATCATCAGGTGAAAATCAATCAAATATTCACCACAAGTGGCTTCTTGAAGTCGCTGTGAGCAGTAGCTGCCAGCTCTCTGAAGGTGCTTTCGAAAAGTGATGCGCGCTGCAGGTGCAGTTTAAAAAATTTGGGTTTTGACTGGGAAATCCATCCGTATTGAAAATCAAAAACCATCTGTGGAGGCGCCTGCTGTTCATTCTGCAAGACAAAACAAAGTATCATGATTTTAAAATAAATTCTCTATTTAAATCCAATTGTGATGTATATAAGGCAGCTGGTGAACCAAGTGAGCTAGACTGGCTCTTGCTTCTGTTCTGAGGTTCTGAAACTGACGCCTGCCTGAACTGTGAGTGAAAAGAGTGCTGAGAGAACTAAAACAAATAAAACAACAAAATGTTGGACTCTTCTGCAGCACTGAGGGCAGCTGCTGATTCATGATTGTATTCTGTTAGTTTATTTTCTGTTGTGACTCCTTTGTTTTTTATAGATGGTTGTTTTGTCTGTTATATAAAACTGCTGAATAGTGTAGCTTTAAAGTGCGATCACTAATACACACTAACGCAGACTGGAAAATTACAAATTCTGCTATTGTTTTCCTGTAACAGGGTGGTGAAGTTACCTGAGTGAATGCAGAATTCATGTCAAAAACCAGTTTCTTTGATTTCAGATCCATCACAAATGGGTACTTGCAAAGAATCACAGGCAGATCATCTGCATTCTGGAAAAACAAAGAAACAACCCACATAAACAGTTAGTGAGCTTAACAGTGTGTTAACATGAATGAGTCATTTGGTGGGTTGACTGCCATCTTAGCAGGTTCAACGTACTTGTTGTCAGCTGACCTCACCTTGAGTTTTGACTTTGTTCGCCAACGTTTGAGATCCTCCTTTAGAAACATCTGGCTAAGCTCGAGGCAAAAAGTTGTTTCTGGGATTTTCTTGTTTATCTCATTGGTCTTAAAACAAGAAGTGGTAGTATTTGTTATACTGGCTGTGTGAAAATCCAACTTTTTTTGTTGAAAAGCTGAGCAGTAATACATTTAATTAAATTTTGATAATTTGTGATACTGACATAGTACATATGCTGGAGGATTAGCAGTACGTTTCTGGCTTGAGCGTCGCAAGAAACAGACTTAAAGATTGGAATCCACGAGAGGGCCGTCTTCCACACCTGAACATATCTGATCATGTCGGAGGGTGACAGTGAGGACCACCATTCCCCTGAGGATGACAAAGTTACAGTCAGCTCTTCACTGGCTGATATCATGGATTAAGAAGTCTAGAGTGTTCATTAGAATAAAATGCTATCATTTAATACATTGATGCATTTAAACAGTATATACTAATCCAATAAATACACTTTTAATAGACGTGCTGAAGATTTTAAAGTTGTTAAAGTCTGCCTAAATATATGCCTGAACAACAGACTTTAAAATTGCTTTAAAAACAATTAAATTACATTAAATAATAATTGAGTTGTGACATAATTATGAGCTCTAAATTGCAAAGCTTCAGCAAGGTTTTGGACTAATTCCTCAGATTTGTTAAATTAGTTGTTAGTTTAGTGTTTTTTGCATAGGTGAGATTGTGTTATGGGAAATGCATTAACTGCTTTGAGAACTGTTGGAGTTGGATAGAATGATGTTGATGTGAGAACTGCACTAAAGTCGGGACAGTCAGTAAGCAAAATAGTAGGTGTCACCGTACCTAAAATCTGGACGCTTTCATTGGGGAGTCGTTGCATGGTAGCAGCAACTGCATCAGCAAGCCTTTTGCTCTGTTGCCATCTGCATTTCTGTATGCATGCATGCAGAAGTTCATTGAGAAGCAGGAAGATCCTCAATCCTTCCACTCCCACAGGGTTCATATCAACAGATGGAAGCAGCTGCAGAACAGCAGTCTCAGCCTGCTGATGCAACTTGTTATTAATTAAAGGTTTAATTAAAGTCCACTTCTTACTTTTTTAGTTAATTACTCATCAGGTTACAAACGTGTGTTAGTCACATTCCAGTTCAATACCTCTGCAAAAACAACATCTTGCATCACCAGCTTCTCAAAACTTTGCCGTGCAAGTGACAAGTCCAAACCGGAGTACGTTGGTGAAGTTTGGAAATGTTTATCTTTGCTGACATGAAGAAAATGACAAATGTGTATCTTCAAATGTTGAATTCAACAGATATAAAGAAGTCATGATCATGCTCATAAATGGTGTTCTTACCTCCTGTCAAGAAAGCTTTGATTCATACAGGATGGAGATGTGAGCATCCTGTGAATTTCCCTGCGAAGAGTTCATGAGGTTAGTCAGTAACACTAAGACTACAGTGTACATGCTGTGCAGCAAACCAGTTACAAACAACAACAATAACAGCTGCTTTTGTGTTAGACTTACTCTTTTAGATTTTTCCACAGCTTTGGATTATATGCAGAGACCCATTTGTCAATCATGTTATCAATAGAGTGTTCTGTCACCTTGTTCTTTGTGCCACTGCCTGACTCGTGATCAGCGCCCTGTGAAAGAAGCAAAGGTTCATGTTTGGTTTAGACACATGACCTCACAAGTAGATATAACTGGTAAAGCCATGTTTACATCCTCCCACAGGTATCCTTACTGCACTGTATACATTTGTGCTGGTACCTCATTAGGCGTGCGTGTTGCAAATGAAGTGTTTCCTCCTGCATAGATGTTAGAAATGTCTAGAATAAAAACAGATGAGAAATTATCTACCTAAGAGTCAACTGTACTGTATGGGATGGTTTTTCAGTTCCAGAAAGAAATATAAGATATAGCGACTTGTTCTTACAGTGGGCTTAATTTGTGACATTTAGTCAATAAACCTTTTTGTTGTTAACTGTGGTTAACTTGGTTATTTGGATCAAATTCAGGTCCAGTTTTATTTGCTTAAATTATTTTTTCATCAGCACTTTAAAAACATACAGCAGAAAACCTAAAACCTGCCGTGAGTTCATGACATTTATTTTTTGGATTATTTTAAGTTTTCCAGTATTTGATGCGTGGCCAAACATTTTGTCTATGATTATATTCAAGCCCTTATAGTCAGAATTACTAATTATTTTAAACTAAGGCTTTACCCAATTATCTATTGGGCTATTGGCTCATCCGTGTTACACCTGCAGCAAGTGCAAAGCCCAACAGTGCAGCTCCTCACTGGTTTCAGAAGACTCAGTACCTCTGAGTAGCACTTTTTATTGTTGCATAGTGAATATATGTGTGTGTCTTTGTCAGGTTTATAACCTCTATCTATACAGTTGGATGTGACACACCTTAATTATTACTCTAACAATAAAATTATTTAATTGTTACTGTTAGTTTTGTGTAATTGTAAATTGAATCGACTCTTCTGTTCAGATAAATGTATTTACCATGTGGCAGTTGCACAGGTAGTGGCACTGATGCCTGAGTCTCTTCTCCACGTCCCAGCTGCCCTTGTTCATTACACCCAAACGAGTACACCTTCTTGGATTCTGTCAGTACCAGTGTGTGGTAGCTGATTGAGAAAAGAGTGCATGAAAAGGAAAGTCCACAATGTAAAACATGCTTTTTCAAAGGTTTTAAACATCTGTGTTGTTGGTGGACCTCAGTATGATCACTCTGAAGATATAAGACAGAAGTTGAAGTTTCCTGTTTGCTCAGCAGTAAACGCTTTTCTTTTTCAATTATTTATGATATAATAATAATTAAATGTTACCTTCCACATGCAACCTTTGTGACCTTTGCCCCCCAGAGCTCTGCAACAAGCCGAGGACGCTGTTCATTTTGTAACGAGTTGTGGCCAAGCTGTCCATATTGACCAGAGCCAAATGTAAACACTGCACCGTCCTGAGAACCAGACAACAGTTCATATTAATTTTTTCCATGTACATATAGTTATCTCAGGAGTTTGTGGAAAAGCAATTAGAAGCCAAAGAATAAGAAACAAAAAGGCGCTTTCATAATTAATGCAAAATGATCAATGATGGCATGAAAGTACTGGAATTTCTTTCAAATTAAAAAACAGACAAATAAAATAAACCTCAATATAAATAACTGGAGTCAACTTTAAACAAAAAAAATAAAAAAGAACACAGATCGAGTGTATATCAAATATCATGCATTCATCTATTATTTCCTCCTGTAAAGCAACCTTCAAATTAAAGCGTAAAGTAATTTGAAAGAAGCGCAAAGAAAACAAAAAACAAAGATTATGGAAATAAACATGGAAACAACAACAAAGACCACAACTGAAATACTGAGTTCAACACTTCACACAACAAAATACATCTTCTGACATCTATCAATGTTTTAATCACAGCTCATTTAAATCATAGTCAGCATTTAATTGTTTCTCTGCTTGTTCTGGTGGTACAATTTTATGTGAGCCTGTTAACTGTTGTTGACTCACCTTTGTCAGAGCAGCAGTGTGGTCCTTCCCACAGGAAATGGAAACAGTTTTCTTCATGTTTAGGTAATGAACCGGAGTCGGTGTATGTCTGTCTACGAGAAAAACAAAATACTGAATATTGCATGTATATTTTGATACCTGCACCTTGAGTACATATACATCAGATTCCTTCTGGGAACCACACTTCAGTGCGATATTTACAGATATTGACAGATATTGACAGATACTGAGAGTGAGAGATTTAAACTTTCGTTGTAGTACCTTGTGTGTCACCCAGTCCAAGCTGTCCACAGTCATTTCTGCCACAGCTAAACGCTCCTCCAGAGACAGAGAGGGCGAAGCTCTGCTCTCCACCTGCAGCGACCTGGACCACTGGGATCGCTGACAAAGATCTGACATGCTGGGGTGAATTCACGTATTGCTCGTTTGTGCCCAGACCCAGCTGCCCCCTGGAGTCCTGGCCCCAAGTATACAACTGACCATCTGTGAGGAAAATCAACATAATAATTTTCTATCATATTAAACTCCTAAATCCACTAAACCTGTGAAAAGGATTCGTTTTCATTCAGGTTCACAAGCCTTTTCTTGCTTACTACATACTTCACGCTACCTTTTGTCAAAACGACTGTATGCTGGCTCCCACAAGTCACCTGAGACACCTGTTTGTTGCGCAGTGCTTCTGGTGTGCTGACAGAACACATGCAAGAAGTGATCAAACTCTTCTGTGCTTACAACGGCAGGTTATTGTGAATTCAACTGGAAATTGAAGGACGATCCCTTAAAAGCTGAAGCTGCAAATCTTTGACCTCACCTGGGACTGAAAGGAGGGCGAGTTTGATCCACACAAAAAACTATGCCACTTTCAGACAGAATCCTCACCACATCTTCACCACAACTCACAGCCTCAATCTTCTCTTCGCATTTCACAATCTCTGCAGATTTACACACAGAGCAGGTCATAGTGGATCAACACAGGCAGAGAAGTGAAATTGAGACAGAGACATAAAGCTGATACTCACTCTGTTTCCCTCTCACTCTTCCCTCATCTTGGCTCTCAACTGTGTGAATGATGTAAACATCCCCATTTCTTTTAATGAAGGCAAGCAGTCTGTGACCTGCTGAAAGATCTGTGACTTGAAAGCTGAGGTTTAAAGAGCGTACTCCATCAGCAGGTGAAATATTTGAGGGTCTTTTCAAGCGAAAGCCCTGCTGCCAGTCCTCTCCCCATGAAAACATGATGCTAAAATGACTGTGCAGTACAAGCAGCTGCTTTTTATGACTCAGGTGGAAGTATGAAACGAAACCTGACTGGTTTATTGAGCAAAGTCAGCTGTGAGAAAACAAAACTTACAAACAATAAAAACACCACACCTAGTGAGTCACTGGCACGTGGTTTATTACTTTAGCTGGAAAACCAAAAACGAAACTGGAGTTGACGTGTGCAGATTTTGCATGACAGCAACATATTTACCTATACTGAGCAAGTCATTCGCATGAGTCACGAAGTTACTCTGCATTTGGTGTTTTCTGAAGGAGGTGTGGCTTTTACCCTAAATAACAAGAAAATGTGTGAGGCTGTTAACTGTTAAGTATACCAGGTGTGCAAGATATCATTTGTGCTTTTTCTTATTTTCTGTCATACATACCATCACAATGATGGATGCTCATATTGAACATGACCTAAGATTCAGACAATGGTGTCATTATATGTACAAGTAATCGCTGTGAGCTAAAAGCTTGTAAGTACTTTGTTCCAGACTGTTTCTTTAAACTCTTGGCTCTGTATGATGTCAGTGAGACCAGGTATTCCAAATATTATCAGCTTGGTGTCACGATGCCGGGTCTTATGACCCAGTGTTTTGAGTTTAGTTTATTTGGATGTTTATATGATTAAGCTCATGAGTTTTTCTAGTTCTTTGTTATTAGATTCCCCTTGTGTCTTCCAACCCCTGTTAAGTCTCCCTTGCCCTTCATGTGTTTCATGTCTGTTATGTTGTCAAGTTCATGTAGTCATGTCTGCGTTTCATTATGTTTCCTATTTTATTTTCTAAGAGGTTCTGTGTTTTGTTTTACTCTTTCCCTGTGGCGTTGTTATGTCCACATTGCGTCTACTGTGCCTTTCTGTCCCATGTTTCAGGCTCCTATGTTCTGTCTTCTCAGTTGCTGTTAAGTTTGCATGTTTAGAGTTCAGTCAGTGTGTTTCCTGTTTTACTTTGAAGGTCCATGTCTCATGTGAGTGATTCTAGTTTTGCTTCCCTTGTCTCGTCCAGCCTGATTACTCCCAGCTGTGCTCTTCTTCTGTGTCTCATTCCCTCGTTATCCCTCTGTGTATTTAAGCCCTGTGTTTCTCTTTGTCAGTGTTGTGGTCTTGCGCATAGCTGTGTGAGTTGCCATGTGTTTTCACGTATGAGTTAGTTGTAGTTTTCCCCAGTTTAGTTTGTTCTTTGTTTCCTTCCCAAGCCTGCAATAAAGCAGTGTTTTGAGTTCACTTTTGTGTCTGTGAGTTTTGCGTTTGGGTCCTTCTCTTGCCTGCACACAGCCGAAACATGACACTTTGGCACACAGCTGTGGCTGAGGATGGAGACTCCACCCACCTATTGTTCAAATCTTTTGTTTGTGGAAGCAGCCAAACAGAGCGATCCTGGTTTAAAGGGAAGGGGTTGGATTATTCTGAAGCAAGAATAACAATATTGAGAAGGAAATGAGCAAAGTGGGTCACTTTCAGGTAACTCCAAGTAAAACTTTAATAGTAAATCCACATCTGGAACACAGAACAGTGTAGTTTATGTTGAAAACTAACATTCTTTTTTACATAATGCAAAGTTTTTCATAAAATGTTGCAAATCTTTACTTACATATGTTAACATTGGCAACACTGGCAACATTGTATAAGTGTGGCTGATTATGATTTAGAGAGTGCAGTTATTTTGTGTATTTTCTGAGCTGTAACATTTAGGGGAAAAACTATGAAATACTGACAGACTTTCTCCAAATTTTATAATCTAATATTACCTATTTACACTTTAAAAAAAATATACACACAAGCATAGATGCCAAGTCATCATCATAAATTTTTTATGTTCCAGAAACTAAACTAACAGGCAGAACACACAGCCCGAGAATGGACGAGATCATGACGCTGCACAGAGGGAGACACAAACAATATATACACACCCAAGAAGGAGGCAAAGATCTCAACCTCAGACTATTAAATAAATCCAAACCAAAAGTCCAAAACGCTGGGTAGAAGACGCAGGATCATGACAGTAACAGTAAGTATGTTTCAGCAACTGCAAATGCTAGACTTGATCAACAATTACTTTTTACTGTTCAATACAGTAAAAAACTGGCGTATAATACTGATCACTTATGGATCCTCTTATTGTTGCTCAGGGCCTCTGTGAGTTTGGTTTGCATGATCTCCTTAGTTGAGTATAACGGCAGCTCCAAGGTCGAGAAGCACGTGTGTGTCTCAGGATAGTACTGGTCATAGGAGACGTCCTCGACTTCTTTAACTTTGACTTGCATCTTGATTTTGTCCATACCGAGAATAGGCACCCGGTCAAATCCTGTCACAAACCCTAGAAGAGGAAAAAAGCAGAAATCGATGAATGTCGTGAGTTTTTGTTTACTTTTCTGCATGTTGGGGTGCTTTATCCACAACCTCAGCTGCTGTGTAACTGATGTTTCCTACCACATGTTCACTGCATCGATTAGCAAATGTCAAAACATTCCTGAGTGATCAAAACTTTAGTAGTCACTGTGATGAAGCAATGTTGCAAATTTACAATGGTAAATTCCTGCTAATAAAGCAGATTAGTAACGTAACTTCCATTTACATGTTAAAATTTAACTAGCTTTTATGATCAAATCAAATACTTACAAAGGAAAGCTTTCTTCTGGTTCTCAGTCATTTCATCAAAAACCTCCCAAAACATCTGTATGGTGGGATGGCCTGCGCTGTATTCACCTTCATAATGTGTGTTCTAATCGTAGTGAAAGAGGCTGTTAGATATATTGAAAATAATTCATTCAAACTGTAATCAAAGCATGCACAAGGATGTGATAAAAAAAATTGCAGACAAATTACATCTTTGTGTCACTAACGATTTACCTGTTTCAGCTTTTCCCAGTCACTGAAGTCTTTGCCCACCATCACTTCTTGCAGCTCCTTTGGCCTGAAGAGTTTCACCAAATCCCGCTCACACACCAGGAAGAAGCCTCTCTTGAACTCCTGAAACACATTCTCCACTGATGTGTTGAAGGCATGATTCACGTAGGCATCCACAAACTCCTTCCTGTTTGGAAGATAAAAGTAGTGATTAAAAAAAAACCACAGTCACACTTTGGTCAAATCATGAACTGTTCTGTTCCTTTTTGTTTAAAGAGTGGTTGCTTTATATCTCTGCCATGGTCATTTCCCATTAATTGCTTAAATTACTTGCCTATAAACAGGCAAACTGAGGGTGGTGTATCGCACTGGACCTTGTTACCTTTTCTAACCTTAGTAGTAAAAATAAGGAAATTGGTTGGTTGATTATGTCCTTGTTGTAACTATGCTTCTTGGCAAATAAACTTAGACTATTGGAAAGCCTGATTATTCACCCTCAAATTGTGTCACATTTGCAAGGAAAATGCATTAGTGGGTTGAGCAGCAGAGTTGAGCATGTGACTTTCATCCATGACAAACTTTCCAGATCATCTCTGCTAATGCCAAACAGCTTATTCTGCTATTGGCTCTTGTCTGGTGTTATTTGTTGGATTGATTGGATCATTTGCTGGCATACACCCAACACATCACACTGTTTCCACCAAAACCTAGTTTTATCCGCACTTTGACCCTGTGATCATACAGTAAAATTTTGTGGTGGTGTCTTCTTGATTCACCTGTCTCTGATATCCCCTGTTTTGGCCTTCAAATTTGGAGGTGGTGCTAGGGCTCACTCCATCAATGTGCCTTGATTGGCACAATCAGGTGCATAATAAGCATCTGATTGTCAGAACTGTCAGAAGCCTAAAAATTGTCAGAAGCCTAAAAATGAGAGTCAATAGCAGAATAGGCTGTTTGGCTTTGGCAGAGAAGGGGCCCGTTCTTCGTACGTCGCTCACTACATCCAAGATCAAATGACACATCCAAGATCAAACCATCGCGCTAACCGTGAGCTCGCTAATCCGGTTCTCCGAACACACCTTCCGTTGACGATTAGTACAGCTGGACGCAGTAATGTGACATCACTGGGTGTCGTAAAAGGGGCTACGCATCGATAGTAGAAACATTGATCGGCAACCCTCTGATTGGTCGGCGAAAATGTCGAAGGAGCGCGCTCGGCTCGGTATTTTTCGGCAGCAGAGCAAGAACTCCTGAGTGAGGGATTTCAGGAGTTTCAGAGTTTAATCAGAACGCAAGGGAACACTGCAAAGGCTGCAAAAGCAAGGAGAGAGGGCTGGCAGAAAGTTGCTGACAAATTAAACTCGTAAGTAATTTAATAATAATAATAATAATAATAATATATTGGATTTATATAGCGCTTTTCAAGGCACCCAAAGCGCTTTACAATGCCACTATTCATTCACTCTCACATTCACACACTGGTGGAGGCAGCTACGGTTGTAGCCACAGCTGCCCTGGGGCAGACTGACAGAAGCGAGGCTGCCATATCACGCCATCGGCCCCTCTGGCCAACACCAGTAGGCGGTAGGGTAGATTTATCATATCACACTATATTATCCAATATTATATTACATTATATTATATTGTTATATTATATCCTCTTTCACATTAGAGCCACAACAGGACCCACTAGAACATGGGAACAAGTAAAAGTGAAATATAAGAATATTCTATAGAAGGGTAATATTTATCACTTATATTGCTTTTCGTCTCTTGGAAAGAGACCCTGAAATAATCTGTTTGTTTGTTTATAACAGCAACCAAGAAAAGGGCAGAGCAAAAAAAGACA